TGAAAATATAGCTTTGGCAGCCGTAGAGTACAGCGTCTCGTTGCTTAGCGTGTCGTGTTCACCGTCACCACAGGTGAGGGCACACCGGCCATGCATCAGCGATAGCAGTCGGCCGTCCCAGGAGCGACTCTCGACACATTCTGTGAGCTAGTTGGGCTCTGAAATGCCAGACCAGTAAACAGCGCATAAAATATAAGTAAACTATTTAAGGTACACACGAAACCACCACGGAAAAGCGAGTGATGCCTCGTTAGCCTGTCAGTGCACCGATCTCACACGCTAAACTAACACAAGCTCCAAGGCAAAACTTGTGGCTCAAGTTACCAGACTACCTGCATGTGCCCGCTGTTTCTGAGACTAAACGAACAAAATCGGCCACTCAACCACATACCAAAGACTGAAGTGTGCTTAAAGTAATCTACTAATTTTTTGTAACAAATAAAATGAAAATGATTGAAAATAACCACTTAAATAATTTTTTGTTTTCAATATTTGTCTTCCCCTCACCTAGTCGTGCTTCAATCGTCACGTGGTTATTGATGTTTGTCGCAATAGGTTTCGGACGACTTTTCGTTCACACTTTCGAGACCTATTTATTTAGATTAACTTTCCGTACAGTATAGTCGCGGGATCGAATCGTGGCATCGGTGGCTGCATTTCCGATGGAGGCGGAAATGTTGTAGGCCCGTGTACTCAGATTCGGGTGCACGTTAAAGAACCCCAGGGGGTCAAAATTTCCGGAGTCCTTCATTACAGCGTCTCTCATAATCATATAGTGGTTTTGGAACGTTAAACCCCCCATGTAAATCAATAATAGCTGCCACGTCAAGAACAAACCAGGTGCCCCGCCGCGGTGGTCTAGTGGCTAAGGTACTCGGCTGCTCACCCGCAGATCGCGGGATCAAATCCCGGCTGCGGCGGCTGCATTTCCGATGGAGGCGGAAATGTTGTAGGCCCGTGTGCTCAGATTTGGGTGCACGTTAAAGAACCGCAGGTGGCCAAAATTTCCGGAGACCTCCACTACGGCGTCTCTCATAACCATATGGTGGTTTTGGGACGTTAAACCCCACATATGAATCAAAGAACAGACCAGGTTGCCCCTAGCATGCTTGGATCTCTTCGCAAGATGCCCCCGCAACCAATGCTCTTCCTCCACTTTTTAGATGGCCTATGGCTCGATCGTTGCGTTTTTCCCCCTCCAGGACCACAACTCATCATCGTCATCATCACATATTCACAACCACCACCACACTGATAAAAATATTGTTTTATAGTTACTGTGTGCTTAAAGGAGGTGACGTGGGTTTTCTTTTCGCGCATGGACGCGGATGCATGCTACAAAATCAAGGACATGTGTAAGCTCTGCTATAATATTTCTCCCTCACAACTCCCCAAAATGTAGTTTCGGTCCTTTTTTTTATTTCGAACTTGACGTTTGGTTTCATCTACAAGGGGCAATTTCAGGCACATGGGAACGAAGCGATATGGTATCAAAATTTTTAAGTGACTAGTCAATTCTAGCACTGAAGCAAATAGGACCGTTTCTGAACTCGTTATTTGATAAATTTGAATACTCCCACAGCTCTCACCAGCACTCACCCTGTCCTTTTCTTTCAATTTCTTACAGAAACCATATTTATTCTTTAGGTTACTTTGAATATTTTTCTTCCTTACGCATCGTTCATGGACTGGCCCCTGTTGTGAGCAAGTGGATTAGACTTGGAACCAGAACTGGAAGAAGAAGGAAGAAGAAGAAGTGGATCGCAACGAAACTATGGACGTCTGGGTGCGCCAAGATGTTGAGGAACCAACCAACCAACGTCTGGATCGGAGCGGTTGCGGTGCCGAAACCAGAAGCCTCAGCGACCACCTGCCGGAACAGCCGCCTGGTTGCTCTGCTTACGTGCCTAACCAGACTGCGGTCAGAAAAGGGGCCAGCGAGAGGCGCCCCTTCCGATGGCACCGAAGAGGTATACGATTGTGGGCGGGCGGACAGACAGGGTAGGAATGAGGATGTACACCAGCATTAATTACAGCCTGTATCTATCCAACCATAGTTCAATACACAGTGTTATGGCTAGGCAGGTCCTTTACCATAATGGCGACCAATGGTCCATGATGGTGCATTCTAAGAACTCTTCGCTTCCTACTTTTACCCTCGAAAAGACCAAACTCAAAGGCAAGCCGCTGTAAGCAGCCCTTCATTTGTTTTACTTTTGCATCCTTTAGGCGGCTTGATTTCCTTCGTACTCGTCTAATGCGGAGGGGGCATGGGGCTAATGAAAAACCCTGAGCATGCCAATAGGTGGAATAGCACCTACTTATCTCGGTCAAGTCCCAGTGATTTTTCTCCTGGGACTTGTATGAGTCAGGGAAAACTGGAGGAGTGCTCATTTGCCCTGTCACGTTCGATTTTGTGAATGAGATGGCTGCATTAACTTGTTTTGGGGCTTTCTTGAATTGAAAGCTTTTAATTACGTAAATTGTTTCCATTCTTTTTTTCCATTTTATATTCCCTATATCTATGTATTTCCCTGTAATTGCCTGTGATTGCTGAACACAATGTTCAGCAATTCCTGGTGTTTCCCTGTAATTGCCTGTGATTGCTGAACATTGTGTTCCTGCTTCTCTAATCATGAAGGAGTATTAAAGGCAGAATATGGGCTCATAAAATAAATAAAAAAATGCGCTTTCACTCAGAAACAAGGAATAAGGAAACAGGCGCACTCTGCAGTGTTGCAGTTGATTGGTATACTTTACGACCCCGTATTCGGGTGGACGCCATGGCTAACATCTCGCAACTTTTAACTTCTGCTTTGGTGCAATATGCAGCCATTAATTATGGTATTTGTAAACAAAGCAGACTATTTCGAGGCTGCTCTTTCATATAAAACTATGCTCGTACGCGTCCTTCCCCCACCAGCAGAATGATGCGTGAAGTGGCGTAGTTAATACATGTTGGCAAACGTATTACTATCTGCTTGCTCATGCTGCCCCCCCCCCCCATCTATGCTGATTATACACGCTAGTTTTAGAACCTGGTGCACAGCGTGTGTTCTCATAGGAACTTCACAAAAAAGCATAGATCCGCGTCAAACTTAAGCTGGACTGTTCATATCCACCAGGTTTGACTAGCTGAAGCTCGACTGGTATTGTGTGAGCTCTAGTAGACATGTTCGACCAGCGATTTCAAGTAAAAACTGCTTAAGTGCGTAATATTCATTTACTTGTTAGGCTGTTGTGTTTTAAAATTACTCTGCATACGGCAAAGACTCTAACATGTTGCATAAACTATTCGCACGGCACATTCAATTTATTACAATTTACTATTTTATATGTAGGCTATTTGTCGCCTGAAGACAACAAAGAGAAAACAATTGTGCTTTCATTTCTATGGTCTTTATACAGAATAGTATAATTCATTGTTCTAAACAGTACGCATAATACACGCCTCTTCAACTTGGCCACAAATTTGGCGTTAAAATTAAATGACGTGGCTACTTTGGCTACTATAAGCTTGCGTTCTGGCTCATTTTTAAATCGACCTGCAGCAACCTTGGGTGGTGTGTGTTTGTTTAGTGTGTCTGTCCGTGAACGTGGTTCCAGAGTATGTTCCAGAATATGCCCAAAAGAATTTGTATATGTACTTTAGAGTATTTGTATATTGGGTGTTTGGGTATATTAAGTGAACATTAAATGACAGTTCCGATGCACATTGCTGGAAACCTTGTGAATCAAAGCGATGGCGATTCTCTTATACTCGAACGCTATTGAACTGTATTCATTAATCCACAAGATGCCAGAAATTGAGCTTATTCTACGGGTTGATATCCTCGATTGTCTACTTGCCATTTTTAGTCACTTAGTTTATTAACAACGTTTTTATACCTCTGTATTTATCGTGCATGATGGTAGATCAACAAAAAATAAGAAAACGCAAGTTCAGTGCTACTAGAAATTAGAAGCGACAGTCTATTATGTCCAGTTCATCTACAAGGGATATCATCGCGCACATTTTTTTGGCACAGTTGAGACGTAAAAATGCGTGCATTCTGTTTAGCGTGGTAAAAATAAGGTTGGAAGGAAAAAAAGTAACTTGTGTTTACGTAAAACAATGAGTCCCTAAAATTCCGCCATGTGTGATGCTGTTTCGCCCGACTTCTGTTTAGATGGCAGTGTGATGTGCGTATATAACCACGCCGATGTTCATGCGATTCGCGTCATCGCAGGGCGGCGTGAGACGAAACATGATCATCTCACTAGTCGCCAGCATGGTCCTTTCGGTAGCCATCTACGTAATGTGGCACGTGCTCGAGGTCTCGTACCGGCACAAGGCCGGAGTTCCTGGTCAGGGCTGAGGACGACGGTACGACGAGGCCGAAGAAGGATAACGTACGATCGACGCCACAAACCGCGCCCTCTTTCATCTGCACGTCACCCAGCTGCGAACAGTTCTCCAGCATCTTCCAGGACGCGCTGTCATACGACGAGGAACCCTGTTCGGACTTCTACCAGTTCGTCTGCAAGCGCTGGAGCAGCGCGGCTGCCGCACGAATACACTGTCAAGGCGCAACACCTGCACCGCATCATCGCGGTCATGCGCCGCGTCCTCGACACCCTCCCGCACTCTACGGCATCCAGCTCCTCAGAGGAGAAGGCGGCCGATCTCTACTGGGTCTGCATGCGGCCAGAGGCCAACGTGGAAGCGCTCCGAGAGTTCATGCGCGTAGAAGGCGTCGCCTTCGATGACGACGAGCCGGGCGAGCACCCGCTGAAGCGCATCGTGCACCTGAACGTCCGCTATGGCTTCGAGACCGTCTTCAACATCGGGCGAGGGCAGAGTGCCACCGCCGCCGAGTGTAGCGGCGCCTAAGTGGACGTTCGTCTTGGAGAAAGTCGACGTCCACGCGTACGCGCCCTTTGTTGAAGAGCTGACGAGCAGCGTTCACTTCATCCGGAAGGCGTTCGCGATAGTGACCGGGAAGGACATTCCTGCTGAAATGCTTCGCGACATCATCAGCGTTGACGCGTTCGTGGTGAACCTGCTTCACCAGTTTTCCTGGTTGCCCATGAGAAACGTGTTTCAGCTCGGGAAAGGTGGCTTCTTCGCAGGTAATGTGACTGTGGCCGACATGTTTCTCTACCTGGGCGAGTCGCTGCGCATCCAGTTCGACGTACAGGATTGCATAGTGGTCGCATCAATCCACATTATTCGGCTTCTGGAAGAGGTTCTTGCAAAGTTTAGCACGACCCAATTGAACAGGTGAGAAATGAGTCAACTCTCAACAATGTTTGTTTACTTATTCTTTTTGTAGCGGCACATATGTTCTTCCTTGACCAGTTATTTCTGTTATTTCATTCCCTATGAACTAATCATTTCCTGACCTCGGAGATTAGTTAATATTGTAGCGATGCTGACGCCGACAGGTTAAAAAAACAAGCGTCTTTATTAGGGCGAACTTGTGCCCACGATTCTAAAAACTATGGTCGTCAAGTTCGAGTAGCCGAGTGGCACAGATCCGACTATCTTCCTCTTCCTCGTTGTTGGAACGTACGAACGCGTGGCGCATGCCAGCCGAGCCGGGTCTTGCTGGTGCTGGTGCCACGATGATTGTGGCGGGCTACTTGAATGTGGCGAACCTGTCGCAGCATTGCCCCCCTCCTCAGACGCATCGTCCCGATGCTTAAGACAGTGAAAAGATACACGCACACTCTCACTCGTTTTTCGACGATCTGTCATGATAGGGCTTCATGCGGACTACGTGGACTACTTCCGTGGGATTTCGGCGTCTTGAACTCACGTGTCCAGCAGATCTAACTTCATAAGTGACGTTGCTGATACGGTTGAGTACTTCATAAGGGCCGAAGTATCGGCAAAGAAGCTTTTCAGAGAGTCCGCGGCGGCGCACTGGTATTCATATCCACACTTTGTCACCGGGATGATAAAGTGTGTCACTGCGTCGCTTGTTGTAGCGACTAGAATCGACGTGCTGTTGGTGGCGTATTCGGTATCTTGCCATTTGCCGTGCTTCTTCGGCTCTTTGCAAGAAGTCATCTAAGTCAGGTGGATAGCTGCTTTCGTCCTGTAGTGGCAACATGGCATCCAGCGGGGTGGTCACTTTTCGGCCGAATACTAGTTCGAAAGGGGCAACGTGGGTTGTTTCTTGAACGGCTGTATTATATGCGAATGTTACGTAGGGTAATATTTCATCCCACTTTTTATGTTCAACATCAACATACATTGATAGCATGTCGGTCAGAGTTCTGTTGAGGTGTTCGGTTAAGCCATTTGACTGAGGGTGATACGCCGTTGTTCTTCTGTGATCGGTATTTGTCATGCGCATCAGGCATTGCATTAGGTCTGCAGTAAATGCGGTGCCCCGATCCGTAATAACGACGATGGGCGCACCATGTCTGAGCACTATGTTTTTCACAAAGAACTTGGCGACTTCGGCAGCTGTCGCACTGTATAGAGAGTCAGTTTCAGCATAACGGGTGAGATAGTCTGTGGCTACGACTATCCATTTCTTGCCTGCACACGATGTCGGCAAAGGTCCTAGGAAGTCCATGCCGACTTGTTGGAATGGGGCATCTGGAGGGTCTATTGGCTGGAGAAGGCCGGCTGGTTTTACGGGTGAAGTTTTGCGCCGTTGACATTGACGACAAGTTTTCACGTAGCGCTGCACTGATGCGAGCAACTTAGGCCAATAGTATTTCAGGCGAATCCTGGCGAATGTTCGGCTCACACCCACTGTGTCCAGATGTTGGCTCGTCGTGGCATGCGTGCAGAATTTCCTCTCGCATGGCTGTGGGCACGACTAGTAAAAACGTTTCACCATTAGGTTCGAAGTTCCTCCTGTAAAGGACACTTCCTCGAAGGCAGAACGCGGAGAGCCCTCTGGAGAATATGCGAGAGACTTGAACGTCGAGACCCTGCAGGGGTTGTATAAGTGCCAGCAAATCCGGGTCATCTCGTTGTAGTTGAGCGATTTTGGATGTGTCGACAACGCCTAGAAACGGGAAGTCTTCCTCTTCAGGTACACTTGGATCGACGGGAGAGCGTGACAGGCAGTCGGCATCGCTGTGTTTCCTTCCAGATTTGTACACGACCGTAATGTCATACTCCTGCAGCCTAAGGCTCCATCTTGCTAGTCAACCTGACGGGTCCTTGAGATTTGCCAGCCAGCATAGAGCATGGTGGTCACTGACAGCCCTGAACGGTCTACCATAAAGGTAGGGTCGAAACTTGTTTATGGCCCAGATGACTGCGAGGCACTCTTTTTCAGTTGCAGAGTAGTTTGCCTCAGCTTTTGATAGTTTGCGGCTGGCATAGGCTAACACTTTCTCTTGACCATTTTGCCACTGGACAAGGATGGCGCCGAGGCCGACATTGCTGGCATCGGTATGGACTTCAGTGTCGGCTGTCTCATCAAAATGAGCAAGTATTGGTGAACCCTGTAGTCGTTTCCTTAATTCGTCAAAAGCTTTCTGTTGTTCGCTTTCCCACGTGAAGGGCACGTCGTCTTTTGTCAGTTTTGTAAGAGGTTCCGCAATCTTTGAGAAGTTTTCCACAAATCGTCTATAATAGGCACATAAACCCAAAAATCGACGCACTGACTTTTTGTCTCTGGGTGTAGGGAACCTCTGAACAGCGGCTGTCTTTTCGGGATCGGGACGAACACCATCGGAACTAATGACATGTCCAAGGAATCGCAGCTCTTCGAAGCCGAAGTGGCATTTTTCGGGTTTGATTGTCAATTTCGCTGACCGGATGGCTTCCAATACTGTGCGTAGTCGCTCTAGATGTTTGTCGAACGTTGCAGAGAATACCACTACGTCATCCAAATACACTAGGCATGACTGCCATTTCAATCCGGCGAGGACAGTGTCCATCATTCGCTGGAACGTCGCTGGTGCGGAACATAGGCCGAATGGAAGCGCCTTGAATTCGTAGAGGCCATCTGGTGTTACGAATGCCGTTTTTTCACGGTCCCGCTCGTCGACCTCTATTTGCCAATATCCGCTTTTCATATCTAAGGAGGAAAAAAACTTTGCGGATCGCAACCGATCTAGTGTGTCGTCGATACGTGGCAAGGGGTAGACATCTCGTTTAGTTACACTGTTCAGTTTTCTGTAGTCGACGCAGAATCTTAGTGTGTTGTCTTTTTTTCTTAACGAGCACTACGGGAGACGCCCATGGACTATTCGAAGGCTGGATGACATCATCAGAAAGCATCTCCTCCACTTGCTTCTTGATAATTTCCCGTTCTTTCTGTGACACCCGATATGGATGCTGGCATATAGGCCTCGTGTCGTCTTGCGTTATAATTCTGTGTTTCGTGATTGACGTGCGCTGGACCTTCGAGGTACTTGAAAAGCAATCAGAGAATTCTTTTACCAAGGCGTAAATCTGTTTCTTCTGACTGTCCGGAAGGCTCTGATTGACGGTCACGGATGTGTCGATGTTGCAGGCCACTGGTCGAGTAGTTGATGTCGTTAAGCTGCATAGTTCAGTCGCCATACAGAAGTCGTGTAAATAGGCGATAGCCGTGCCTTGAGCGATGTGTTGAAGCTCATTGGAGAAATTTGTGAGTAGGACATCTGCACGGCCATTCGTCAAGTGAACAAGACCCCTAGCTACGCAGACACCTTTGTTCAAAAACAGTCCTACATTTGTATCCGCTATGCCTTCGCGGTTGTACAATGCATCATTTTCTACGAGCACCATTATACTGCAGCGTGGCGGCACAGTTACGTCATCATGAACAACGCGTAGAGCAGTTAGGCGTCGTTCCTCAGATTCCTCCACAGGTATAGCTCGTTCAGTCGAAAACGACACGCTGGACCTACGCAGGTTAATTACGGCGCCATTAGCTCGCAAAAAATCCATTCCTATAATGAGTTCTCTTGAACATTCTGGCAGCACAATGAAATCGACCACGTAAATAAAGCCCCGTATTTCAAGTCTTGCAGTGCATCTGCCAAGGGGCGTAATAATGTGACCGCCTGCCGTGCGTATCTGCGATCCACTCCACTGTGTCACAACTTTGTTTAGCTTTTTCACCATCTTGTGACTTATCACTGAATAATCAGCACCGGTGTCGACTAAGGCATTCAGCTCCCATCCTTCCATTCTCAACCGCAAATCTGAAGTAACGTTTTCGTTGCTGCACCCATCTACCGGAAATACACCGTCATCACTCTCAAACCAAACTGGAGGATCTTCGTAACTGACGTTATCAGCGGCCTCACCTCCACAGGTCGCTTGCTTCAGTTTTCCGGGTGTGGACTTGGAGAGCGATGACCAGGCTGCCTTGAAGGTGTACGTGGGCTGGATGACCGGGTAGCGCATAGGCGATGGTGACCGTGACCGGTGTTGGCGTAGAGTTGGCGAGTTCTGGCGCGTCGACAAGTACTCCTCAATCTCCGCTGGTCGTTCGCCGTTTCGGGGGCACGGTGCATATGACGGGAAGCCTCTTAATCCAGCCTGTCGGTAAGGACAGAATCTGTACAGATGACCCGCTTCCCCACAATGAAAACACAGAGGCCTGCGCTCGTGATCACGCCAGACGTCACTTTTCCTGGGCCTGCGCTCCACATAGTGATGTGTGCTACGTGCTCCTGGGGGCAGATAGGTAGCTGTTGGTTCCCGTGGACGAGGTGCGCTGCGTGCCGCAGGTGGGAGAGGAGTCGTCGCCATCGCAACTGCTGCATTGCTGTGTACCGTGGGTTGTCTGACAACCTCAGAGTATGTTCGGATAGGTCGAACCGGCTGCAGCTCACGCTCTGTCTCTCGTATCACCTGCCTCAGTTCGTCACGAACAACGTCCGTAACAGATAGTGCAGTTGAAGTCTGGGGCATATGCAGTCTGCTCAGTTCTTCTCTGATAACTGATCTAATTAGCTCTCGCAGGGCTTCAACGTCGTTTCGCTCGCCTCCGGGGAATACCTGTGCAGATGCGCAGTTAAGATTCCGGTTGTACTGCCGAGCCCGCTGTTCCAGTGTTTTTTCGATGGCCGTCGCTTCCGAGTAAAACTCAGCAACCGTGCTCGGAGGGTTGCGGACGAGAACGGCGAACAGCTCGTGCTTCACTCCACGCATTAGATGGCGCACCTTCTTATCCTCAGCCATGTTGTAATCCGCACGCTTGAACAGGCGGACCATGTCCTCAATGTACATAGCAGCACTCTCGTTCGTTAGCTGGTTCCTCGATTGAAGAGCTGCCTCCGCTTTTTCTTTCCGGTCTATGTTTCGCGAACGTAGCCACCGCTTGTCGTCGAAATACCTCCCAGGTAGACAACGAGGTTTCATGGTTCTCAAACCATGTCTTCGCGAAGTCTTCCAGGGCGAAGTATACGCGACGGAGCTTCTCTCTTTCGTCCCATCCATTCAAGCTCGCTACTCTCTCGAACAGGTCCAACCAATCTTCAACATCCTCGTACGAGTCGCCGTGGAAAACTGGTGGCTGGTGTGGTTGGCTAATGAACACTTGTGCCGGTGTTACCTGGCTAGTCATAGTGGTGGCATCCATCGTTTGAATTCCCCTTGGTGTGAAGTGAAGAGGACCGAACTCAGGTGAGTCACCTCGAAGACGGCGACTTGCCCTCTGGTGTACAGGAGTCACTTCCACGGGGTTGATACGCTGGTCGTCGGGGCTACGCTGTCTTGAGCTCGCGGGGCTTCGGTTCATAACCCAGCACTTCCACCAGAAATGTAGCGATGCTGACGCCGACAGGTTAAAAAAACAAGCGTCTTTATTAGGGCGAACTTGTGCCCACGATTCTAAAAACTATGGTCGTCAAGTTCGAGTAGCCGAGTGGCGCAGATCCGACTATCTTCCTCTTCCTCGTTGTTGGAACGTACGAACGCGCGGCGCATGCCAGCCGAGCCGGGTCTTGCTGGTGCTGGTGCCACGATGATTGTGGCGGGCTACTTGAATGTGGCGAACCTGTCGCAGCAATATGTTCACTTGAGCTAAGGCGTCCTATAGGTGTATGACATTAGAAATTTAGCTGTGCTGGACCATGTCACGTATAATAGCTGAACGCGCCAAAAATAATCGCATCGATATATATTATGATTCATATCCATTATACAGCTTGCCGAGTCTCGTCTATCTAGAGGAACACTACCACGAGGGGATAGAGGTCGGCGGCTACTCAATCATCTGACCACTGACGTACCTGGAGGAAAATGGTGGTGGTGGGAATGGTGGCTTCAACCCCACCCCCTTCTCAGTCATATCCTTTCTCAATTTCGAACACACGCACTCATACAAACGCACGCACGAACATACATAAAGGGTGTTCAACCCGCCCCCGTTCCTCCCAAAATTTTCTGGCTACATCCTTGGTCTTGAAGAAAGACTTGCCTCGATAATATTGTTTTACGGTTCATGATGTTGTCACAGGTACGTGCAGTGGTCGGGACTGAAGCGGATCTTGCCCATCGCCTATCCGTCTATCATGGCGCCAGTGGAGCTTCGGCACTTCTACTGCTACACCATGCTGGAACGGTTGCTGCGCTACGCGCTGTCTAGAAGGTTCCTGGAAAGCGTCGTGGTGCCCGAAGGTCGCGCGACGCGCGAAGCCTCGACCATGATCAGTGTCATTCTACGATCGGCTCTTTCATTCGTCGACGACAATAGCTGGATGAGTATGGGCCAGAAGGTCGGCATTCATCTAGAGCTTGCCAAGAACATCCGAGTCTTGGGCTACCCTGACTTACAAGACCTTGGTAAGGGAAAGAATGTGTGCCTCGGTGGAAATATAGCATTGCTGTACTGCAGCACGTACTTCTCGGGTAGGTCGATGAGCGTCAAAATGGAAAGTGGCGCGAGTTAGTGTTGAACCGCTTGCGGGAAACACGAGATCATAACTAATGCGTAAAAATGGGTCTTATGTTCTGAAGATGCGCAGGTACAATTGCAGGTTTAGTGAAGCACAGATAAAACGGTATTGTTGACGATAGTTATAGCGCGAGAACAAAACGACGACACAGAGACAAGAAGGGCACGAAATACACGAGCGCTCGTGTCCATCGTGTCCTTCTTGTCTCTGTGTCGTCGTTTTGTTCTCGCGCTATAACTATCGTCATGCCATAACAATTAGCCCAAGCTGCCACACTTCTAAGGTATAGTTGAGTTATTGTAGTGAGCTTGAATGATGTTATTGATGTCACTACGGATAGACAGCATTTGGCAACAAAGTGATCATTCGATAGCACTAAGACTAGTCGTCAATGACCAAAAAGTGGCCAAGTCTATGTAGTGCTAGCCTAATATAACCAGTGTTTGTAGTAGCTGGCTCAGGGAGGCATCTAGTCGAGAACAGTTGAACTCAGCAAGATGTCATTACATCGTGGACATCATAGCCCGCTGCTGGAGATTGGTGCAGAAAGCTAACGAAGAAAGTTCAACAGAACCATCGGGGCAGGCTCATGCTCATACTGAAAACAGTCAAAGACAAAAAAGTGTACAGTGTACTTATCATGCTTTCTAAATGCCGGGATCAGTGAACGCTAAAAAGTGATGTATCTTGTACCTCCAGATTGCCTGCATGAGTACTCTGAGAACGTGAGCAGTGCCAATGCCCTTCTGTCTTGGGCGGCAGCGGCGTCGACAATCAGGGCATGCCAGCTGAGCAGGACTTCGTCGTCTGGTCTTACCTTGTACCCAATGAGCACGGATGTGACGTTTAGCTCGCAAGCACACACGCTGTCCGTGCCCGCGGTGTTGTTGATGCCACCTTTCTTTGGCTCCGAGGGCCTTCCTGGCATCAACAATGGGGCCCTGGGTTCGGCCGCATCCAGCGCACTCATGGGACTCCTGGCGGTCTCTTTGTCAAGGGGCCAACAACTTTCGGGGACAGACGACAGTGGAGGCGGCTTCAGCAGCCGATTAGTAAGACTATCAGTTGAATACCCGATAGCCAAGACAGTGTGAATGCCGGAATGGGCGGGTATCACGAAGCGCAAATAGAACGAAATCTCGCTATTGTATTTGCACACATAAAGAATTGGTTCTTCAGAGCGGTCAGATATTCATTTCTTTTCAAATCCTGTGATGTGCAGTAACGGTTGTCGGTGCCTGCAAAGCGAGGAGTTTAGATGAATGTAAGGCACTGAGTATAGTCGTCATTTGAGCGCAAGATACGTTTTTGTTGTCTCAGCCGACGTGGTATGCAGTTTTCAAAGCGACTGTGTATATCAAATGAATAGGAGCCTCTTTCTGCGTCATTCCAAAGATATGTTGTTCAGAAATTAGGGCGCTGAATACTTGGTTTGCTATAGGAAGTTAATATTTTGAAAATATTTTTACCTAATTCACTTCACGTTTTATATTCGAAGTGTTTCAAGTTGATAGTTTTTTTGTTTGTATTTCTTAAATAGCGTAGAATTCTTGCGCCCAGGCATATGTATTCAGGTTTATCAGCATATAGATGAACTGGCGAATGATTACGCTGAGGTCAGTGAAGCAAAATTAACTGAAATGAGCCTCAGACATAGTGAGAGTCTATAACGCAGCACTGACGATTGTATATTATTGAATACATTGCACCTTAATCGCATAGGTTCAGGTAAATCGAACCTTCAGCCCTTATCTGTCAAGACTGCGTTGTTCTGGCGCTTGTCGCCTTGGTGTACCAACTTTTACTGTTCTCCTACAGAGTGGACTACAGAGTGTGCTCCTACAGGGTGGACAACGCGTACACGTCTGTGATGCAGAAATTGACGCGTTGTGGAATAGTTCGAGATGCACTACCTAAAGGACACGCAGTCGCCGCAGTGTGCTTGATTATAAGGGCCCCGAACGTCGTGTCTGCTCTATTATAACTGCATGGTTTCTCATAGGTTGATTTGTACAGTAAATCTAGAATGAAAAGCGTCAACACAGGCAGGCACAAACTGCGTTGATTCAATTCAGGAAGGGAAAACATATCGCAGATGATTACAATTAGGGTCGGGCCTCTACATTTGTCAAGTTTGCTGTGGTATAGAACACTATATTTAGGGATTTCGACAGAAACGCTAGGGCATACACTCCAGTGCTCAGAATCACTATGGCAGACCACTGTTCTTGGCAGAAATGAGGAATGTCTGTACAACCGCAGCTCTAATGCGCTATGATAACCCACAGGAATGCTTGAAAAAGTCCTACCAGGAAGATATGGGAGCCAACCTGGGCGCGTTAAACGAGATGGCCGCGCTGGCAGATTTCGTAGGCTTACTGCCAGCCTATCGGGCCTTCGTCTCAACGGCGTCCGCGCAGCGGCTGAAGGGCCTCGAATGGATGACCGAAGAGCAGCTGTTCTTCGTGGCCTTCTGCTACCAGCAGTGCGAGAATGTGGGTGACCAGCGGTCCTCCACGGCCCCCTTCCGCTGCAACGTGCCCCTCAAACACACGCCGCAGTTTTCGGACGCTTTCAACTGCTCGACTGGATCTCCGATGGTTTCTCCCGAGCGGTGCACTTTCTGGGACGAAGATTGGTCGAGATCCGCGGCGCTAATCCAGACGAAGTCATTGTCATCTCACTTGGGCGCACCGAGGCCATCCCACTATTGAGAACCGCAATTGCTGCCCAACAATGCCTATTACGTCAACAATGTAATATTAACACAAAGAAAAGGTCCGCTATTGCTTGCCACACGCAAGCAATTGTTATGCGGATGTTTTAATCGATGAAAACGAAGAATCCTATTTGTGAAGCTTCTGTGGCACGTTTATTGCAGCGCTTCTTGTTTGCTGTGAACGCCTATAGTCATTTTGTTTTCGAGCATAGTAATTCGCTTGTTGCTCACGCTAACGTTTATTTTGTTGGTAACTGTGACCATGTGTCGACTATAGCTTTGTACTGCTGAGCTTTGTTTCCTCTTTCGAATGGTGTTTCGTTCTTGAAGGAAACGTTGTTTTTAAGTGATAATTGTAACCGGCCCTATAGGTGTACAATAAAACTGGACTCGGTGCCAAGAAACATTTGTTAATGCTATGAACTTTTAATGTTCTTAAAGTGAACAATACCGTGCAACATATCGAGCACCGTGTATTCATGTAATATATGCGTTACCATGTCATGGTAAGGTACGACTCTCAACGGCCCACGGCGCAAACAATAACCTCGTTCACTTTCTCACAACGAGTGTATCAGTTTATTTATAAGCTTGTAATTGATCATACGATAATTCAAAGCACAATGAGCAAAAAAAGAAATGGGGAAGGGGGTGGGGAGTTAGGGATAGTCTTGTATCTCTCGCATACTTTTGAATTCTTCTTGGGGAAGGCCGGAGATGTAGTCCTTGAGGTACTTTGGTATTAACTTAGCGACAATAGACTTGAGATACTCTTTTCCAGTATTCAGCAGGACTCTTCGGTCTAGACAGCTTGCAGGTTCTAGAAACAAACAAAACTGTTTTTGTGACCTGAAACTACGCTAAAGAATGATATGACACGTGTTGCTTACAGATGTGTTACTATTGGTGGCCTAAGAAGGAAATAACTTTACATTTAAGGACTCGTTCCTTTGTTAGAAGCAATATATTATGGGATCTAACTGACAATCATGTCGGAAGGAAACTATAGGTGATGGTAAAAGAAGTAATGTAAATGTGAAGAAAGAAAAAGTGAACTAAAAGGTAACCTGGGACCAAATCTGCGACCTTCGAATAACGCGTCCGATGCTCTACCAACTGAGCTTCCACGGCGGCTATCCCCGCGACCATTTTATGGGGTACATATGTGGTCTTAAAACCCGTATACAGTTTGAGTGTAGAAATTCACTGTCATATCCGTAGAAGTGAAGATTTTGTACTGGGACTTAACGAAATGTCAAGAATGTGAATGGCATGAGCATGACAGGTTTTTTGAGAGCTCAAAACACGTTCTACGTTTGTTTCACAGATGCGTGTAAATGTCCAGTCAGCATAATACTCACGAATTTAAGTCGTCGCTGCTAACTGCACGGCGCTACGGTCGCGACAGTGGACGCAACGTGGTATCAACTTCATCATTTATATATTTTGCACTCTGAGGACAGCAAAGTAACACTGCATCCTCGAAAAACGGCGCAAATTCCGATCGATTTTCATGGCTGAAAATTTCTTTCTTCAAACGTAAATAACAGAGGGATAAAAACAGATACCAGTGCAGAACAGATGACAAATTTTGCGCACATTGTGTGCTTGTGTGCTGCTAACCAAACATCAAAAATTGAGTAAAACTGTCAACTTTTAATATCAATTCTACAATGAAACTTATGTGTGCCACCTTTCGTGGTGCGTAGATGGTATGCGCTTACCTTGAGAGTGAACCAGCTCGACCGCAAGCAACACCAGAATGTAGACGCACAGCAGTTTTCTCATGGCGGCCTCTAGTAAAAAATGTAAAATATATCGCGATCACTTTCGTGCTATGTTTACTGAAAACGCGTCATTCTTACCTTGTGCAAGCCAACGGCTCTCCTGCAACGACGACGTTTGAACCAACTACGAGCGTCAGTATAAGTTCCTTGTGGCACGCCCCCATTCGTGGGCGCGACTTAAGAGGACACCTGTATACCGGACGTCTGAGACATCCGCGTCCACGAGATTAAGCCGTTCCGGCCACGCACGCAAAGTTTTCTTCGTTGTCTACACGACGCCGGCGTAGTTGATTCATACGAGAATGCTCGAATTCCACGAAGGAATATAACGCGCGCCAGCCAAGTTCAATTCAGCGTGGTCATAGCAGCAGGCCTTGCGCAGAATGCGTCATCAAGGCCGTCGTGAGGCGTGTCACTCCGTTGGCGCTTTTTGAGATTGTGACGTACTTGGGAGCCTCATTATCGCGGCTCACAAGATTTCGCGTTTAAGTGAGAAATGCGTAAGTCTGGCGTCTGTCTCTCTATATATCCCACTCGGAAATAGCTTATCTAAGTGGCACGACACGTATTCATTCAGCGGTTCTTGCTTACATGCAACGTGTGATTCGATCGGTACCAAGATATGTTCTACCAAGATTTTAACCCTTTTAATGGTCACGTCAGTATTCCAATAAATAATGTTGATAGTATGCTCTGCGCGTTGTTTCTGTCTGCGTTTTTTTATGTGAAACATTTTACGAGATGTGACAAACCAACAAGTTATAGTTGTCTACATATAAAGTGCTGTGTTTGGTTCCTGTCGTCCTCAACCTGTTAAGCGCAGTTTTTTCTTTCAAAATGAGAATGTCTCAATCAGCCCAGTTCCAGAGGCTAATACACCACGCACCTACAGCGGCTGACCTGCCAGCAATAATGAATAAAGTAAGTCGTTAAATCAGATTCTGTAGCACGGATATGGATATGAGTCAATGTCGCTGCGCTGACGTAGTTTATGTGAACGTATAGAAGAACTCAAGCTGACCAAGGTCATCCGTACCTCTCTCATAGTCTGAACGGCGTTTTTACGACGTCGGAAACCCCGAATAAGATAATTATTCGATCCACGTTGCACACCCGTTCCGTGTTCAATGTGCAATATGTTCAATGTTCAATGTGCAATATGTGTAATGCAATCAGAATGAATTAAGCAGCGTGCAACTCGTAACTCCGCGTAGTACAATATATGCCTTATTGCGAGAAGCCTGTGCTACTCGGGCAACTTTTATGACAGGTTATGTACACCTTTTCAGGTTTGACGTCCTGCGTAAGGATTGAAAATCGTTTGGGAACCAAGCATTCAAATATTAACACGACGTGCTCAGTGCTTTTGTAATTGGCGCGACGCTTCCATTCTGTGTGTGAACATGGGTTAGATGGCGGCCGTTGTGGTTGCAATTCTATGGAGGCTAATTGCTGTACTCTGCCATGTCATCGCACGTTAGAGAACACGGGGTGGCCAATATTTACGGAGCCTTTTTCTCGGGCATCGCTCATGATTCTCGCACGCAAGACCTTGGCAATTATTAATGATTGGCAGACTTGTTCACCGCTTGCAGATTGTGCATGGTGGGCGTCACTAAAGCATCAAGTGAAATGAGAAACCTAGGTTATGAGAAAACAAAGATAACGTAGCGCCGCGTAATATTTGCAGGGGTTTAACTTTCCAAAACCAAGTTATAAATGACACTGTAGTAGAGAGCTCCAAAAATTTCGCCTTCCTGGGATTCTTTCACCCTTTATATACTGCAGAGTGTCGTAAATTCGCGACATACCGAAAAACTTCAAGCAAGCGAGCCACGAAGTGGCTGCCTCCTTTAATGCCAGCTGTCAAATGCTCACTGGGAACAAAGCGCTCAGCATAAAAAATCTAGTGCCGTCTCGTCTAAGGTATTCTGTGCCAGAAACAATTGTTTTGTAGCCGGTGGTGGAGAGCGGGAAGTGTGTGCAACAGCTCTCGATTGGTCGTTCTTTCTCGCCTGGGTGACGCAAGTTTTGTCTTTAATAATTTTGTTTATTTTGTGTGTACGCACCCAAGGTCTGGTACACGATCTGCTATGTAGTTTTGAGGAACGTTTTTTTTTGCAAGGTAGTCCGCGACGTAAATAAAAGTACGCATTAAAGTCACGTTTTAGATAATTTACCTGCAGAATCATTTAGGCATTGCTATTTCAAGCTGCAAAATTAAAAGAAATATTATTTCGTTTGGTGGTTTCATAATTCGGACATTAAAGGGTTAATGTGCACCTAAATTCTAGTACACGGGCCATGAGCGTCTTTGCTTCCAGTGAAAATGCGGCCGCCAAGGCCTGGATCTGGTCCCATGACTTGCGGGTCAGCAGTCACGCAGCCATAACCACTAGACGACCGTAGTAAAGCTATGGAAGTTTCTCCCTAATGGCGCCAAGCCTGAAAGAACTGCGGAGCTGGACTGTGTTGTTTGTTAGTAGCCAGGATTCCATAGCATATAACTGCTCTGGGGGATTCGCCAAGAAAACATACAGTAGCCTGTGGAAGGTAACTCCACTATCGCTTCTCTTCGGTTTTTCTTCTTTCCTGCTGTCTTTCTTTCTTTTTGTGTTTTTCAGTTTCTTTGTCTTTTCTTCTTCATATTTCTATTTAGTTCTGTATTTTTTCTTATTTTCCCCCTTTCTTTCTCGGTGGCCTCCTTTTTTTTAACATGAGTTTTTTATTCCGGGGTCGACTCCGCTGACGTATTTCCGTCACGGATATGACGTTGTAAAATGTACACTAGCAAACTGCAAAGGAAAGAAAACGGGAAGAAAAAGTTTCTTCGTGGGCGTCGAGCGAGCGACCTCTCGCTCCTCGGTGCGAGACGCAATAGCTCACAAGCCCACAACGCACGAGTTGCTTATAGCTTGTTAACGGCAAGCTATTTATATGCATGACGTAGCCTTGGTGGTCCTCGGGGCTCGGCAACGTGTGCGGGTTTTTGTCCTCAGCAGCGAGATGGTGCTAGAGTCGCGCGTTGAACGCGCGCTCTAAAGGTTGAAGCCCCGAGCCACCCCACGCGTTGCAATGCGCGCGCGTCTCCACATGTCGTGGTCATAGTCCGTATAAATGTTCTCTGGCATGGTCTCTTACTGGCGCGCGTGCTTTTCTCTGGATTCGGGCACTTCGTACCTTTGGGGCTTTTTCTTTGGCGCGACCGCGTGCTACAGATGGCGCTGCTGTAGGTGGCTTTGCCTGCATTACGCCAGGCGAAGACGACAGCATAAAACAGCGCCCCCTCCCCCCCCCCCCAAAGTGCTCCATATTTAAAACACGTTCACTGTGGGTTGACTTCGTTCTACTGTCGCACAGCTTGAGAAAACACAGTGAAGGCATTGGGCAAAGTGTCCGAAAAAATTCGCACAAATCCTGCGTGAGACAAATTTTAGTTGCTTATTTCTCGGCGAAAGGTCTCACTGTTCGCACGAAATGCAAGGCAACGGCTATCCGCTTCTAAATGGCGCTCTGTTCAAGTTCCTACGCGAAACCTAATTCTTTGTTGACTCCCGCAAGGCAGCCCCTCACAGCATCGTTGGTACGCTTTTGGTCTTCTTCCTGTAAATGAAATATTTTGTCAGCCGTGTACGGGAGTGAAATTCAAGCGGTAAGCAGAACAAGAGCAAGATATCTATGCTCTGATTACTCACCTTAAGTTGGCTGATAAATTCATCGTACTGAAATCAAAACAATACAGCGTTATTGCAGGTACAGGTGCAGTACTGCCTATACATTTTTTTTTTTGCTTTGTTGCCTTAAGGTTTTAGGCTTGTGGATACGCATCGTGCAGTGACGCTTGATAAGCTATCCCAGAACAGTGTTTCTTTATGCGTACAAATAGAAGAATAATACTTCGATGCTTCTTATATAGTGCCATAATTAAATGTACCTAAAAATAAACGCTATTAATAGGGCTTCGCATACAACGAACTTCCAAATCACCAAGCTCACCTAATTTGGAATTTTTTTAGAATTTTCCAATTGTGCTATACGCATTATGCTATACGCATTGTGCTAACGCATTGTGCTATACGTGGTCTCAGAATGTATAAGTAATTCACAAACAACGCCTTTTCAATTATTCAATTACCAACAGAGTAGTAGTCAGAGGCAAAGCTCAGAAGCCAAAATACCAAGAACCTCCTTACGTCTCTATTCCTTTGGTATTCGATCGATTATCCAACATTGGTAGCACACTCACTATGCGCTATTTTTCTAAACTTATTTCGCTCTAAGATGCGAAGGGTGCCATAAATCAGCCTTTACCAGGACAGTTCCCGCTTGACGGTTGGCCTTGCACATAAGGTCGACAATTTCATGAAGCTCCAGGCCTGGAATGCGTGTTATAATGGCGTTTACTTCTGTTTTTACCTAAGGGAGACAACAGACACAAGGAAACTATGAGCGATTGTTGTTTTTCAATACTATACTGCAGAATAGTGCCCAAACAAAAAAAAACGTAAGTAATCTCTCTGTCATAGGAATCGGTATGGCGCGAAAGTGAAACGCTTCTTTAGACTGTTGTTTGTTGTTCAATGATATGTAAAAGTTTGTACAATGTGAACTGGTGTTTTGCCGCTACAGCACCGTTTGATGTGCATGCACCCTGTCGTTGGGATGTGGATGTGGCGCTAAGCGCCACATCCACATGAAAGACGCCGTAGTGGAGGGCTCCGGACATTTCGACCACCTGGGGTTCCTTAACGTGCCCCCAAATCTGAGCACACGGGCCTACAGCGTTTTCGCCTCCATCGAAAATGCAGCCACCGCAGCCGCAATTCGATCCCACGACCTGCGGGTCAGCAGCCGAGTACTTTAGCCACTATAGACCACCGCGGCGGAGCAGTCCGCTCCCGAATAATATATATGCTTACCTGCGCCTCTGATCACGCACACCACTCTGTGTTTAAGCAACATGGTGGGCAGAGCTTCGTAGCTAGAGCAGTGAACGCGTGAATGCGTTTCACGTAGCGCTGGCCTAATTCCTTGATTCACCGAAGCACAACGTTCATCCGTCGACATCGTTGCTTTTCTGCCGCGGCGCTAATTGCCGCAGTTTTTGTACTCGGTGCTGTTGCACTGAAAGCAGTAGCCAGCTGACACACACCGTTAGGTTTGAAAGATATTGAGTTCGCTTCG